CAGTAGGGTTTCTCTTCTTCTTCTTTAGGAAGAAGAAGCCTCAACAGTGCCCCTCAAAATTTTCTCCAAGTTTCGTTCAAATTTTTCCAAAGTCCTCCCTCAACCATTTTCCTTGTCCGTGTATTTGATACCATTTTGCCAAGAAAAATGAGCCCCACGCGTGGTGGGGTTCAAGACTTGTGTCCCCACGCGTGGTGGGGTTCCCCGTGTACGGTGTTCCGTCTGTGTTCCCCACGTGTGGTGGACTCGGATTATTACGGGCTAGGTCCGAAAATTAGGCCTAAAAGCGGGTAAGTTTAAACCCAAATTTTATTCTTTTGCCCGGATCCGAGAGTAGGAACTCGACGTTGCTTAACTAGTCCTAGGTAAGCAAAATAGCTACCAAAATAAGACTAATATTTAACAAAACTATATCTCTTTTTTTTTTAATAGCTACAAATATTAATAAAACTATATTTTTTTGTAATTTTTGTTTTTTATATAAAGATAAAGTATAAAGTAATATTTTTGTATTTTTTCAAAAATTAAAATGACTTCAAAACATTAATAGAACTATATATTTTTGGTAATTTTCGAAATTATATAAAGTACAAAAATAAAGTGCAATTTTGTATTTTTTCAAGTTTATGATAAATAAATAAACTAAAATTTATATACATATATTTTTATAATTTTTCTTTTTGCAACGAAATAAAGTAAAAATAGTCAAAATGGCTATATTAGACCCAATTTCACATATTCACGCTAAAAATGTGAAAATTCTCGGGGAGGGTCAAAAATCAGGTGTCTACAGTATTAACCCTCTTTCTTCAGCAATCTGCAATCTTCTCAACACAGCAATAAGTTCTGCTTGTGTATTAGTAGAGTGTTTCATGCTACCCATGAAGCCCGGTACACATTTTTCGCTTGCGTTTCTGAAAACTCCCACGCCTCCCTTGCCCGGGTTCCCAACAGCAGCCCCATCAGCGTTAAGCTATAGTGCTCTCTTGGTGGGGGGATCCATTTGACCCAGATAGATGTTTTGTCAATTGAGATAGTGATATACTTAGTCACCTTTGCCAAGACAACGTTTGCAAGGATCGTGTCTTTCTTTTTGTTGAAGATGTTATTATCCATAGTGATCCAGAACTGCCAAAAGCTAAAGGTGAAAAGATCTTCCCAAGTAAGGATGTTATTGAAAGGCTTTCTTTTGAGAATGGCCCATGTGATAGGTCAGACCTTGCTATTGAAGGAGATATTCTGAGTTTGAGCTTCAATGGTATTCTTTGAGGTCAAAATTCCCCAAAATGATTTTGCGTTGGGGCACTCAAAGAATATGTGTGCAGATGTATCAATGGCCTAGTTATAGAAACGACACATTGAGTTTAAATATATCCCAATATGGTGAAGGAAGGCTCCAGTGAGGAGCCTTTTATGATAGAAAAGCCATATGCGAGATCCTCGAAAACTACATTACTGCAAAAATAAAAACGCATGAAATTATTAATTTAATAATATTTTAATAAGCGGTACAAACACTCTACGAACAAACCGACAAATTAAGTCTCAATTAGAAACTAGTTCGAAAAATGTGGCCTCCGAGACAATTTCATTGTATATGATTAGGGTTCGACTTGCTCACAACTTTTAAGGAAACTCACTTATTTTTTCATATAGATATTTTTATAGGAAACGTTTTCTATTATCATTCAATCCTACACATACATGCAAACTCCTGAAATTTTATTAAAAGTTTTAAATATACACAAATCACTTAACTTTTACTTTATTGCCATAAGTAAGTAACCATTTTCTTGTTAACAAAAAGTCCTACTTTGTGTAAGATCATATAATGTATTTTATTGTCTGAGTGACTTTCGTGATAGGCAAAGATAAGGGGCTTTATGTTGGGTTTTTTAAATTTCTAGAGGGCGTGAATGAGAAATGGAAGAGGCACCTCTTGGATTGACTCTCTTCATCTCACTCTTTTATTGTGTATAAATTCAGAGGCTTGACCTTATTTTTCAACATGGAAAATCTGAAAACTTCTCCACTATTTTTCTATATTATTGCATTATTTTTCAAATAAACATAAGTGTCAAGTGTGATTTACTCTGTTTATTGAGTTTGCTGAAGTTTTGGCACTACAAATCACTGAACTTGCTAAAAGTGATAGCGGAACTAGAAATTTCTTAAGCTTGTTAAAATCTATGTTCAAAAATTATTTCTGCAAATAAAACAGAACACATGAATATAAATAGTATAAGTAAAAGTTCCGAGCCCAACAGAAAACTGTGTTTCCTTAAGGAATTTAACCCCATTACTATTGCCCAAGGTTATCGGATTAATTCCTCCTAGTAATGAACGGAACAACTATTCTGTAATACTAGCAATGAAAATTACAGAACTTCGTCGAACTCAACAAACGACAGTAAACTACATTGATACTTACGTTTTGCTTTGGAAAAACAAAACAGAAATGCAGAAAAGAGAAGGTAAAGTATGTAGATTTTTGGTCGTGGAAACGTGAGGCAAAGCCTATAAATTTATAGCCAAACAATCTGGGTTGAATAGATGCGAAGGTACTTGTTCACATAAGGTAACATTCCGGTAAAAAAAATCCTGCCTCATTGCGAATTTTAAATTTGCAAATGACCATTAGGACCATTCCTCAAATTTTAAAAACATAAAATCCGCTCGGAAAAATATCAGGAAAAAGAAAATAAATAACGAAAAAAAAAGGAAATAAATTTGGTCCAAAAAATCATCAATCAATATTCAATCATATCAATTGACTAAATCTGAATCCAAAGCCGAAGCCGAAGCCGAGCCAAGCGATGACGACGGCGGCGTGAGGTACCACTTCTTCTCAACTCTTTATACGACGATATTTTTCATTATACATAATGCTCACAACCCTTCCTATTGCCGATTGACTGTCGCAATATATGCATATAGGTGCCAAAAGGTTTGAGCCAAAATGGAATATCTTGTTCCAAGAAATTCCGGAGCCATTCAGCTTTTTCATCGGCATTGTCTAAAGCTATAAACTCATAATCCATTATAGATATTGTTGAGGAAGCTTCTACAAGCAACAAAAAGAGAAAGAAGCCGTATGGACCACAGAATTACCCGAACAAGAAGAAGTTTAAAGGTAATTGGACATAAGGTTGTGGACTGTCGTGCACCAAAGAAGGACAAGAACAAGAGTCAAGCAAACATGGTTGAGAAGAATGATGTAAATTTAGGGATGGCAATAGGGCGGTGCGGGTGCGGGGCGGTGCAGGTTTTAGCATATGCGGGGCAGGGCGGGTTTTAGCATATGCGGGTGCGAGGCGAGTCAAAATAATTTTTTCAAAATTCTTTGTGGGTGCGGGTGCAAGTTTTAACTTTTTGCAAAATTATAATGTTTCAGCTATTGTTAATATTATTACAACCTAGAAATATTTACTTTTTTCAATTTTGAACTTGTGATTCCTTTCACCTATGCATTGATTTTTTTAGTCTCAAACTAATTTAGTTTTTTACGAGGAATATATTTCATATTGAATATTTATTTAGTTAACTGTAAATACATATTTTTCTGTTATTTGCATCTCTAGGAAGAAAATATTATGTTATATATTTTTAGTGTTTTAAAGTCCCACTTTAATTGTATAGTTATTTTATTTGAGTCAAGTAATAATTAGTTGACTCAAATTTTATGTATCTGATTTCATTATCGTGTACAATACATGTGAATCACTAGAAATGACACACTGATGTATCAAACTAAATTTCAATATTGATGCATGTAAAATCAAAAATAAGTATATTAAAAAACTTTAAAACCGAACACTGTCAATACTTAAAACTGACAGCATTTGGTAGGATTTATAGTTATAGGCTTATGGCTATTCAAAATTGGACTTCTTTGGCTTGCAACTTGGATTCCAATGAGAACTTTTAGATCGACAGTGCATATATGAATATAATTGAAAATAAAATTAAATAAGATAAAAATATTACAAATTGAAAGAAATAATAAAGGAAATTTTTTGAAGAGCGGGTCGGGTCGGATCGGGGCGGG